GTCACTGCTGGAAGATGGCAGGAGGGAGGGGTTAGTATATTTGGGCTAAAATGGCCGCTCCCAGACTCAGTGATTGTGACGAAAATTGAAATTTTTTTACTGATCAACGCTAAATTCATTAAATCACAGTGAAGGTATTAGTTTTAGGTATAAATAAAGATCCATCGATTATTCTTTGCTGACCAGATTTTCCTTTTAAGTCATAATAACAGGATTAGGGATAAAATGCTGAGTAATGTTTGAGATCCTTCATTTATTTTGGTTCCTTCTGTCTTCATTCTGTATCGTGTTAATCAGCATCAGCTCTGAATGAAGCAGCAACGTGTTTTTTGCTGTCAGGAAGTCCAGTCAGTTTAAATCTGCTGTTTCTGTGTTCAGCCACAGACCGATGCGACGTACATAAACCGACTGGCAGGTATTTCAGCTGAAAGGATAATAAATGAGATCCTAATTTCTAGTATCGACTAATATCTGCTGATGTTTTCTGACAGCATCATTGTGAAATTCCCCTTTTAAATGGATTGTGCTTTAAGGACCATTAGTCCAACAGACATCATTACATCATGCCAGCTTCCCTCCTACTGTTGGACTGCAGGGCAGCATTGAACAGGAAGCAATCGCTCCCTTGTGTTTACAAGTCTGACTCTGCTGTTTATTAAATCTAATGTCTGTAATCAACATTCTTACTTCCTGCTTCATTTCCTTTTTAATGCTTTGTTGTGTTCCAGTCACACGGGGACAGATATGTCAGATTGTTTCATGGTATAGATAGGATTCTTTTCCCTTCCTCCTCTGGTCGGTCCCTGAACCTTTTCTGTGTTTTGGTAAAAAAAAAGTCTGACCAGGTTTTGCTTTCTGGGAGAGGCAGTCATTTTCCAGGATTATTTCTTTTAATAATCCTGCTTCTCATTCTTCGTGCTGTTAACGAAGATTTAACAAGAAATGTGTTGCTGTGCCTCGCAAATAAATTACGTTGCATTTTATAAAATAATGATTAAAATGTCTTACAACTTAGTCAAAATGAAAAAAAAATCTTAATTCAATGTTTGAAGCTACAAACAAAATGGTCAAAATCATTTTAAAAAGCCTTTTATCCAAACCAGACATTTAGCAAACCATCCACCCATCCCCCGCTGTGTTCTTAATTGCTCCAATTAATGGGAAAGTCTACAATTAACAACGTAATCTAAACAATTCCAAATATAAAAAATGTATGACATATTTTGGTTCTGAATTAACTTAAATATAACCTAACTACCCAAAGAAGAAAATTTAATTGGTAGAAATGACAAATTACAAAAAATGAGCACACATGGCCACAAACATGTTTACCTCTTTTAAAATATTTTCAAATCCTCATATTTTAGCCTTTTACTAAATGAGTTAACGATTAATCAATTACTTTATTGGTTGATTATTATTTAAATAATCAAATAATCCAATTAATGAGCTACCAGCCCTAAAGTCAACACATAAACTGATGCAGAAGTCAAAGTACAGAAACACGTGACGAGAGAAGATTTAAGAACTAAAGATAAGGAAGTTTGTCTCATGTTTAATAAAAGGTCAACACAGTGGGACAATAAAGGGATTTTTCTTTCCATAACTTGGTCATCAATGCATCAAAAACCGGAGAAAAAAGACCCGGTTCTGGATCCACTCAGAACCAAATAATGAACCTATCTGAGAGACCAAATAGGTGTTATTCATTTGTTGAAATAATCAACCAATTTAGTAATCAATTTAGCATTAACTGGAGTATAGAGACTCTAAAACATGCCTTTAGCTGACAGAGGAACCCACTTAGAGCAGGAATTATAGAAAAATGGTAAATATTAGGGATGGAGCGGTTTATGAAAACCGTCTGAACCGTTCGGTTCGACTGTCTCGGTTCGCGTGTGTTGCGTTCGGTTCATGCGC